TATCTTCTCTTGGGTTGAGAAATTATAGATCTCTCAATGAAGCCTCTTTCTCTTTTTGTAGAATCCAGTCAGCGACTTCCAAACTAGTATCTGAATTTCCCACTGGGAACTGCAGGATCGTTTTGACCTAGAATTGCTTGCTTTTTTGAGAAGGAGGAAAGTGTGGGGCTGAATTACAGAAGACAAATGAGTACAAAAATAATTAGATGTGTCCGTATACGAATAAAATTTTGACAAAGGCATCTCAAAGTGCATGTGCTTGCTAAATACTTAACTGTTGTCATAGTGCAAAACATGGTAATCTATCTTAATATGTGGGCTTTCCAAGGAGAGGTGTTACTGCTAACTTTATGGTTTTTTCAAGTAATCTTAAAACTGTTCTCTATTTAGTACTGATAAAACAAAGCTGCGACTGGACAGGTAATGTGGTGTAGCAATAGTATTAAATTCTGGGTAGTATTTTTTCATTATTATCCTATTTGGTCTCATTTGTCTCTTGAATTAATATGAGTCTTCTTCATGTTATCTTTGTATTTTTGAGATAACACTTTTGGCGGGATTTTTTTTCCTCTACCCAATTAGTAATCTTTTTTGATTTTGTAACGCTTTCTACACTGTCTCTCACAGGATCCTTCTGGACAGAATGTCCAGCACACAGCTGGATAAAGACATCATGCAGTGGGTGAGCAATTGGCTCACGGGTCGAGCACAGAGGGTAACAGTGAATGGGATGACATCAGACTGGTGACCTGTCACTAGTGGGGTTCCACAGGGCTCCATCCTGGGCCCTGTGCTCTTCAACATCTTCATAAATGACTTGGACACAGGACTGGAGGGTACATTAAGCAAGTTTGAAGATGACACAAAACAGGGAGGAGCTCTTGACTCTCTCAGAGGCAGGGAGGCCCTGCAGAGAGACCTTGACAAATTAGAGGACTGGGCAATCACCAACCAGATGAAGTTCAACAAAGGAAAGTGCCAGATTCTGCACCTGGGATGGGGCAACCATGGGTGTAAATAAAGACTGGGGAATGAAATGCTGGAAAACAGTGCCAGGAAAGGGACCTGGGGGTCCTGGTTGATGGCAAGTTGAACATGAGTCATTAGTGCCCTGGCAACCAGGAGGGCCAGCTGTGTCCTGGGGGGCATCAGGCACAGCATTGCCAGTCGGTTGAGGGAGGGGATTGTCCTGCTCTGTTCTGCACTGGAGTGGCCTCAGCTGAAATATTGTATGCAGTTTTGGGCAGTGCAATATAGGAAAGTTATTAAGCTATTAGAGAATGTCCAAAGGAGGGCAACAAATATCTGTCAGATTGACTTTCTTGGCTTTGCAAAACATCAGTATCTCTAAGTTGTGTAAACTTGATTATTTTCAAGCCTGCTTGAATCTTGATAAGGATTCATCATAAAGATGTGAAATACTGCAGTTATCAAGCAGAAAAAAAAATATATGATTCAAGAAATGTCATTTTGAGACAGCTTTATTTTGTTAAATCCCGTGTCAATGATTTTCTGAAGTCTATGGAAAAGCCTGAGTCAATTTTTGTCATGCCATCTAGTGGCAGGTTTACTTCTATTCCTGCGTTTTAAATTGTTGGACTGACATGCACTCTGGAAAAGGTGCAGTAAAAATCTGTGGCTTACAGCATTAGCCATCATTGTACTGAGGCATATAGTTGTTAAACTGTTTCTCTTGGTACTGACTTAAACGTTAATGTATTTCTTTCTATGGATAGAATGTCTGAAAAAAGGCTTTATTGTCCTTATTGTGGATTTAACTGCCCTTCGTATTTCCTGAAGTTTTCTGCTGTATGTGGGTGGCTGTTATAACAGGGACATACTGAAGCAGGACCTTTGAGACTTGCTGCAGGACAAACCTGGATTTGTGAAGGTGAAGGAAATAAATGAAGAACTGCATCAGACTCAGTCTCTCCAGCCATGCAGATAATGGAAGTGGTGTTTCTGTGATAACTGTGCTAAAGTCTGGAGGTCACATATACGGCTGATGTAGTTGCACACAACTTCAATCTCAAGGGAAGCAGCCCATCATTGGTGCTAAGTAAAACTGTTTTTGAGTTCAGTAGTCTTCTTTGCTGTAGACCGAAATGAGCAAACACCTCTGGAGACTGGTTGTGACATTTCAGCTGTGTCAGCTGGAAGCTGAACTATTGGAATGAGCACTTGAAAATGAGAACTTTACTAGACTTTAACTGAATGTGAAAGTGTCCATCGTTTTGGGCTGCTTCTGTACTCTGAGGAATAGATAAACTTTATCAATCAGTTGATTTTATTTTTTATATTGGCATATATTATGTGCATACCTATATACATTTGTATACTAAATATACTTTAAGGTCTTTAAGATGCTGTGTATGTTATGTAACACTTCACTCAATTTTTTTGTCAAACAGATTTAATTTACAGGTAGATTTTAACAGACTACTGGAAACAAGTGAATATGTTCTGAGTACTTTGCACACCTTTTCTATCTTGGTAGGAATATGATGCATCCTAGAACTTAATCTGGGAGGAGCTGTTCTAGGTACTTCAGTTGCAGTCTTTTTTTCTTTACATTTTAGAATGATATAACTTTTGTTGTAATGGGCATGGATTGGAGTAGAAAATGGCTATACTTCTCTTCTAGTGCTTCCAGCATTTTTCTGTATATTCCCTCTATTCTATAGGGAATCTCAGAGTCTGTAGAGACAACTGCAGACTTGTGTGAGTCAGGAGAAATAGGACCAAGATATCAAATTGAATGCTTTCTAATACCTATTTTACATGCAGTGGGAATGGGAATGCATGGGAAACTTCGGAAAAAGACTATGGGTTGGATTTTTTGTTTGGTGTTTTTTGTTTGGTTGGTGGTTGGTTGTTTGGGTTTTTTTTAGCATAGAAGTCCCCTTCAGTGATGTCTTTAGCTCCCTTGAGGAATCTAGTGAGAGACTGTGACTATTCCCTGTGCCTTGGTATGTGAGGAAAAATACCAAGGCTGTACTTCATTATGCTAAATGTTTAGATGTGCATTTGACCAGTGTAAATAACAGGGATCAAAATTCAGAGGAAGCCAGGCAGAGGAGGTACTTGTTTAGACAGAATGCAAATTCTCACTTCATTTCTTCTTGTATGTAGGTGCTGCTCATGTACAAAGTTTGGAAAGAGCCTGCAAGGGTTCATGTCACAGATGTCTTTGCATTTTTCTGTAAATTTCTGCTTGTTACTGTTCTTTATTAAGTACCTGACGGTTAAAAGTACCTTGACTTTTGCTTGTCAAGTTTGTTATCCTAGGAGAAATGGAAGTGTGCTCAAAAACCCATAAGTGTTTTTTATTTGTTTATTTTGCTAAATTTCTCCTCTTGTCTACAAGTGACTAGAGGAGGCAACCAGTCTTCAGAGAAGGACTTTATTAAAACACTGGTGACGTCTCAGTATCAGGGGTAAGGGTTTCTGTTCAGGGTGTTCCTTTTGGTTTTGTTCAGCTTTTTGAAACTCAGTTCAGTTCTTCTTAGATCAGGAGGATCATTTCATTGGCTGCTGCCAAGTTCTCCCTTTACTTGGCACTGGTGAGGCCACACCTGAAACACTGTGTTCTAGCAGAGGCCCCTCATTCCAAGAAAGACATTGAGGTGCTGGAGTGTGTCCAAAGAAGGGCAATAAGACTGGTGAAGGGTCTGAAGCACAAATCCTGTGAGGAGGACTGAGGGAGCTGGCATTGCTTAGCCTGGAGAAAAGAAGGCTCCGGAGAGACCTTCTGGCTCTCAACAAATAACTGAAAAGAGATTGTAGTGAGGTGGGGGTCAGTCTCTTCTAGGTGTCTTCCTGGGATATGTTAAAAATCTGTTCCATCATGCTTCCAGTTTTTCTTACAGAAAAAGTGGAAAACACAGTTATAAGTAGGAAATATTTTCTATTTGAAGAGTGACTGAGTAAGGTAGAAGTCTTTGACTTGGAAAAGAGATGAGTTGAATGATATTACAAAGGCCTTCAAAATTATAAGTGTCAAGGAAAGAGCAAGTATGAATTGATTTTTCACTGCTTTTGAATATACAATTCTAGGGATTTTTAAGCAAAGGCATTAGGAACCAGGTTCAAGGAGAAATAATTTTGTGCAATTATTTTGCACAAAATGATTGGCAGACTTGTGAAATTCCTTACTAATGTTATGAAGTCATGAATTAAAGGGAGTCTACATGGGATTGAGGAAACTAGACTGGTACTTGGAACAGAGACCTACTGAATCACCAGATGCCAAACTGTGTCTCTGGAGTTCTCAGAGTCTCCAAAAGTGTGCAGTGGAGAGGGGTGTGTGAAGGAGGACTGTTTGCCCATTTGTCTTTGCTACAGACTTCTACAGATCAAATTTGGAAACTGGATACAGAAATGGGTGACCTGCAAGCTGAGCCATTCTGCTCATTTTTACATTTGTATATCTTCCTTTATTTTAATTTGAAATTTGAACTTAGGTTGAAAGAGCTTTGAATCTAGGTGGAAAGAAACGTCTTCTAAATGTCTGGACCAAGCTGTTCACATAACTGCCATTAATGTGTGAGCTGGCTGTATATGCACACTAGCTGTAATGCATCCTGGACCTAGTATATATACTCTGGTGAACTTGCTTATCAGTTACATGCATAGAACACTTTTTCTTTCATGTGTAGATATACTGTTCAGCTAGTGCATCCTGAATACAACAGATGTGCTGCACAAACTCCTGAGGCATACATTTGTATTGCGTTCTGTGATGTATATGGTGGAAGTTTCAGAATCTGAAAAGGAAAATGTCTTTTGCTTAATTTAACTGATGCTAGTCTGACATAGTAGGCCCACAGGAAATCTATTTGTGTAATGATGTGCACTGACAGCTTAACAGTCAGTAGATTGTGAATACTCTGATTATTACTGTATGTTACAGAATTAAGTGCTGTCTGGTACTGTTAACTTTCTGCTGTGTTAGAAAACATGCACACATTAGATTGAACTTTTCTTTTTTTCTTCTGCAGGAAAATTTTGAAGATGCTTTTGAAAACATCCCCGTGTAAGTAGAATTTTTGTTAAAACTGTTTATACATATGGAATACTGCAAGCACACCATTCCAGGGAAATATCATTTTATATGCACTGACTACATTCACATTTTTCAGAACAGTTAAGGTCCCCAAGAGTCGGGAAACAGAAGTGTAGTTAGGTTGAAGTATTTGTCAACAAATGTTAAAATTGTATAGAATTAAAAATAGGAAATTTAGTAACTCTGGTTACATACTGATAGCTCCAGACATTTTTGCATATTGAAGAATTAGTTGCTTAACATGATGGAAGAGCTGTGGATCACACATTGTGCAAGACCATCCAAGGAAGATTTTCAAATGGAAATTACCATACCTCATGATGTACTGCTGCACAGATGTTTTTCCCTAATGAAGTGAGATACAGTCACTTCTGTGGCATTAAATTTCATGCTGAAGCAACACCTTACTTACAGTGTGATGAAAAGACATGATGCTGTTCGTAAATGGTTTTAGTTTTTCTCTAGGATTTTTCTGCATTTTTGTGCCATGGAGCACATGAGAAGGGGACTTCGAGTGGTATCCTTGGATTTCTAAAACTCAGCAGTAGCTTTGGACTTAATTGCTAAAACTTCCATGGTCCTGGCAAATTATATTCTACAGATTTGCCAGACCTTCTGTTTGTATCTTACCTGGAGTAGTGTGGCAGTTTAAGCCACATTAGAAATCCAAAAATCCAATTCCCAGGCTTTCCCGCAACCCCTTCCCACAATTTGTCCTAACACCGGAGAGAAACTTTCAGGCCAGAGGCTTCTATAGGGGAAGGGAAAGTATATATGTTTATTTACACAAATAAATATACTGTACAAAGTAAAAGCAACTATATATATATTTACATTTCTGTCAGTCCAAGCTCCAGTTGTTTGTTGCAGTCTCTCCTCCTCATGAAGTCCAAGAAGATAGCTTTGAGTCCTTGCTCTTCTGCTGCTGTGTGATTTCTCCCTCTTGGTGTCATACTACTGTCATAAACTACTGCAGTGTAGTTTAGCTTATCAAGCATCTGCGTCCTGGAATGTTGATTCCTCCTTCGGGCTTTCGGTTGTCCTCCGTTTAAATCACTGCAAAGACATTCTCCGGGCCCCTCTCTATCGGGGGTCCGTCTCCAATTCTTGCCTGGGATTTTTCTCCCTAGCAATCGAGCCTCCTCTGGCCCGTCCACTTGGCTCTGCTCCAGTGCTGAGCCTCGCATCCACTCTCACTGAACAGCGAGAGGGAAAAACAGCCCTCCTCTGCAGCTTGGCTGCAAAAGTGGAGGGGAAGAAGAAGAGGACCTGGCTGCAGTGCCTGCCTCTCTCTCTCTCTCTCTCCCACTTACCAGTTGTTTGTGAGTCGCATCCCTCACAAACATGCACTCATTCCAATGCTGTCTCTAACTCTGGCCTAGGCAGAGTTAGAGGGGCTGCAGGGTTCCCCTCCTCCCTCCCCGGAGAGGGAGAGAGAAGGAGCTCAGCCACCCCCTGGCCTTCTCCACCTACACGCAGCAGACACCAACAGCAAAACAACCAAGACTGCCAACAGCTTCCGGTGCTGTGATATATGATTTTGAGCAGAAGCGAACAACATGGACAGTGATTGGCTCTCCAGGGAACACTGCCCTGACACCAGTCACCTCTGAGCCCCCCCCCGCCTCTCAGGGGGGGCCAATTTCAAACTGTGACTAGTAGTAAGGTCTGCGCTCTGTGTAACACTGAGAAAAGTTAAATTGTTTCCTGACACTCAAAAGGAAATCAGAGTCTGATATGTTCATGTTGAGAACTCTTCATGTTAATAATTGCTTTTACTTCCTTTAACTGCCTAGCTGTTGCTGTATGATCAGGTAACTTCTCTCTCTGGCCCTTGTTTCCCTTGGGAGAGGGTGACTTTCAAATACTTATTTTGTGAGAATATTTATCCAACACTCCTTCTTTCTATGACATAGTTGTTATATTGTTTTTATTGATTTCTGAGCTGGGCATGGTTGTTTATTATTGGCATGCAGAGCTTTGCTTTCTTCTTCCTGAGTGTGTCTCCTGTGTTCATAGCTCTCATACAGAGACACTTTTTATAGTGGTATAGAAGTTAGGCTGATGTTAGTTTATTCTGGCTGGTCTTGGTTCCATCTGTAATAACCATTATTTAGAAGAATCAGTGCAGGATGATGAAGAGAATATTAATGGGACAGAAATTGTGTTATTACTTAGTGTCACTAGTTGAACATAGTGAATGTGTATATTTCATATACAGGATTCTTCAATAGATTAGACTCCCTCAAATTCTTTAGAAGGTACAGCTGTTTAAAAAAATAGGCCTAAGGAACTGAAAAAAAACTTGGGATGTTTCGTGGAAGTCTTCAATCTTATCTTCCTTGAAACACTTTGATTGTAGTTCTCAAATGATGCTGGGGGAAGCCTCTCCTAAATCTAATGCCCGACTGGTTATTCTTGACCTTTCTCTATCTAGAATTAATGGTAGTTTTTTCTATTAAGAATACAGTAGTAAAAATTTGGGAACATGACTACTTTGAAACAATGAATGGCCAGAGGTTTACCCTTCTAGGAAGCTGTATCTAATTTTTTGATTTTGCTGTTGATAACATTCACTTCAACATTTTTCTGTATGTCGATGTTTCAGTCTCTTTTATTTTGGATAGGAAAGTGGCATTGTTACAGCTCTGTGATGATATGCCTTGCATTGGTTTGAGTGGTTTATTGCAGTTTGTTATACCTAATTGAATATAACTAAAATGGATCTTTTTTATAGGGACTTGTGTCTACAAAGACTGATGTTTGCTTATAAGACCAGTTCTGGTTCAAATTCTGTCAGATCATCTTGTTAGTTTAGAGAATTGGGAAAGAATGTGTGACAACCAGATCTTCATAGGTCTGTATTTCATAAACCACTCTGCAATTCTTCATGTAAAATATATGGGGAATAATACTGTTCTGTACTTTGCATCAATAAATGCTAGCAAATGATTTTACTAATCTAAGTTGGCTCTCACTGGCTTTATTCCTTAAATATTGCTTACCTATAGATACTGGGTTGTGCAGATTAACTGTTAAAAGGGCAGTGAGTGATTTTTCTGTCTGGATTCCTTTGTGATGTTCTTCTGGTAAACTTCAAAGCAGGTTTTGTAATGACCCCAAAATATTTGTTTTGTAGAAATGTGAAGGAACCTTTAAATAGAGTTCTTTACTATACATGAATTTTTTTTGTTCACTGGTGCTAAAGCCAAAGAAAGGCTATTGCAGTAGGTCAGTTTGCCATTTTACAAAAAGCAAACACTAGCATTTAATTTCATATCTTCTCTGCCAATGAGAGTAACTAAGTTTTCAGTTTTCTAAGTATTGGCTTGATAATATTGGCTTAATACAGTATCTTCAACCTTCCAAAGAGAATAGGTGGGATATATGTGAAAGTAAATTCACCATTACATGGTTGCATTAACTCAGAAATAGTTTCAGATTGGTGTATTCTGTTGTAAAAGAAACAGAGGAACTGGAGTCAAACTGTTCTTTCTGTTGTGGAAATTCAAGCCCCTGCCAAGAAGTTGGTAAACTGCTTTTTACCAGATATTTCACCATGTTTCCACTGGAGTGTCTGCTTATTTTTCAGTTTTGGGCACATGTGTTTCACAAGGTTACCTAATGCCTATGAAGCATCTACAGGTTCAAAAACATATATGGATGGAACAGATTTATTTGTGATTTATTCTTCTATTTAATTCTTGCTAAAAATGCCTCATCAGTACCTGAATCTTACTGTGGAAAAACTATGAACTGTAATTTCAGTCTTACTGAACAAGATAATTCTCAGTTTCTATGCAGAAACATATTGAAAAAATGCTACTTTAATTTTTCCCTGAATTATTCAGAAAATCTCTTTGTAGAATGCAGATATTCCTGTTTTCTGTTGCCAGAGTATAATTTTGTAAATTATCTTGTCTTTGGTTTTCCAAGTAGATTAAAAGTGGTTTGAGTTCCCAACAGTTTTTAACCATCACTGTATTATGTATGTACTGACCTTGCCACTGCTGTTTGATTTCTGTATGTATTTTATCCTCTGAAGTTCTCGATTTGTTTTGAACTTGTATGAAATGTTAATTCTATTGGGATTTCTTCCCATCTTGTTTTACTTACTGTTCCTTAAAATGTCATCTGTATGTGACAGGAATAAGTAGCCATCAAGTTGTTGTGCTTTTCTGTGCAATCTTCCTTACGTTGCCTTGCAGTCTTTGAGGTAAAGACAAGCTGGTGATTTTATTTACTACCCAAATATCAGAGGCTTATGCAAATGAATAGCAGCATTTAGTGTAACTCTATTATGGTAGCTGCACGGGTATATTTATAGAAGATGCTTTGTAGTTGTCTTTGGGAAGAAACACAGTAGTCTGCCTGACTGTTGCAAGCAGTTCATATGCAGAGGCAGTCTTCATGTTGTCCTATTTATATAAAGATTTCTGACACCAGACCCTCAGTTACAGCATTAGGGGAAAGATAGTGAGATCTCATTTAAACACATTTAAAACATGAAATGCTGAAAAAGTAGAAGCTAACATTCTGTAGAAAAGCAGACAGATGATTTTTAATCAGTAATAATACTCAGGATTTTCTGTCTTTATCGATTTAAGCAAAAAGAGAAATGCTTCATTGATTCTCTTTTGCATTTTCTTTGCCTACCCAAAGCTGGATACCGTTAATCCTTGATCCTACCAAAGCAGCTCTGTGTGGTATTACTGGGGTGACAGATTAAGGGACAGAAGTGTTTAAGGAAGTTAGAGCAGGTTATCCTTATCATCTCAGAAGTGTAGTTAAGATTCCAGTTACACCTGCACATGTGAGTATTTTGCTACTGAATGAAATTGAATAGCTGAGGAAATGCTCTAAATTCAAGTTTACACAGAATCACAGAATCTGCTGAGTTGGAAGGGACCAAAAGGAGCATGGAGTCCAATCCTTAGCCGTGCACAGGACCATCATCAAGAGTCACAGCA